GTTTTAGGTAGAAAGGAGTATCCATTAAATAGTGTAGATAGAATAGATAGATAGATAGATAGATAGATAGATAGATAGATAGATAGATAGATAGATAGATAGATAATGTTGAAGTCTTTCAGTAACAGACTAGGTTCATACACATCAAATGATCATTTGGTTTTGACATAGCATACTATTTGAATTCAGCTGCTAAGATTCATTGATAAATTAAGATTCATTGATTAATGCAAATATGAACTCAGGCAACATAGCTTTACTTTATCCAAGCCATGGTTATTCAACCTATGGCTTTGCCAAATTTATATGGCCACCCATCTCATAAACAAGTGACTCTGGGCAACATACAACAATGGTAAAAGACAGTATTAACAATTATTAATAAAAGCTTTAAAATAAAATGGGAAAATATATTTGAGCACAGTGTGTAAACTTGTCATAATTAACTATAAATGTTCATAATTTTGAATATCCATGATTCTCCTACAATAGCTCTCTGAACCTATTTACTCCCTTCCTCTGCAGCCCAAAGTACAGTATAAGAAGACTAGAGACGGCAGAAAAGCCACTCTTAATATGCAAACAAGATGCAACATGGCAAATTAAGATTGCATGCTAGAAAATAAAGAGGTAGAGCAGTGTTAGCACCTGTATCTGTAAAGTGGGAGCAACTTGGCAAACGACAGGAAAGAGTAACATACGATGGGCAAATTGGGTGTAACCAAGTGTGGGGAGTTCCCGACTCCATCTGTCCTGAAATAAAATTATAGGCTGTTCTTGCTTGAAGACAGAAACTAGGCAAGAACAACTAGATAGAAATTTTGCTGGATGACCAACATTACAGGTGAACCTTATAATTTGCAGCTGCCACGTGTGATCACCCAATTACTGAACTGTTTTGGAAGTATCTAAGGGTCTTTGCTCTTGGAATCTGCCTTTTCCAATAAAATAAATGAAAGACTACTTAGCGTGCTGTGTGGGAATCCTTTGCTATGTGTTGAAAACAAACTACCTTATATCAAAAGTTGACGATGAAAATCCTAATACAACGTAATAAAATAAAATTAAAAAACCAAACACACGCGACTTTCGTTTCTTAACAGACTGATAGACTGGAAAAGAATATATATCACACGGATCTTAAAAAAGGCAACAGAACAAGGCGTTTCCTCTTCGGGAGAGGGAATTCTTCCATAGGATCACACATCGCTAAACCACAGTCGGCTTCCTAGGTTTGACGTCGTGGATTGTGTGAGCCCGGCCGCTAAGAACCTAAGTCACCACTTTCTTTTGGTTCAGGATTTTGGAGAGCGCGGCTGTCCCGTAAAAGGAGGGGAGAGAAAGAAAGCTCGGACAATCGATTCTACACCCGCGAACGCCGCATTTAGAAGCCTCTTCCTTGTTCCGTGAGCCGCTTCCTCTTACCCAGCTTACCGAAAGAGGGCGGGGCCACGGCAGTGAGGTCACATGACCTTGCGTGGTAGCGCGGTAGCCATCTTGTGTTGTTGGTGCTGAGGTTTGGCTTTGGATCCGAGAGGCTCTCTGTCCGCGACCTCAGGTAAACCGGCTGTTCGTAGGCTTGCCTCTCTTCTTTCGGACGCGGCTTCTTGCTGAGGTTCTTGGTTTTCTCCCCCTGGTCTCTGTTTGACTCACTGCCACGGGTTTTTTTTGGCCTGAACACACCTAGGCCTTTCGCTGAGCACCGGCTTCCCATATGTCTCGTATCCGGGGGAAGCGCCCGGAGACGGGCGAAATGAGCTGGAGACTGGCGTTGGGGTTTATTAGCTGTGGCATGTGAGTTACTTAGATAGTTTTCAGGGTCCGGGTGAGCGAAACGAAGCTTCAGTGAGGCGAAGGCTCACTTGGCACTGACAGGTCACCAAGCAGAGAGGGGCTTCTCCCTCTCCATGCGGCATATCGATAACATTTCTGAGGCTGGCTGTCTGGGTGGACGAAACTCTGGGCTCTGCATTCACAGAGAAGCGTGTTTATATTCCCAGTTGCTGTGTATTCCTCTCTTTTAACTCGAAACACAGTTGTGTTATTTTCTTCAGTACGGGATTGGGTCTACATTTTTTTTTTAAAAAGGAAACAGTTCTAACTTTCCAAGTACACATTTTACCAAGTCCAAGAAGGAGGAACCCCTTGACCAATTTGTCGAGCGTAAGAATGGCGTTTAATATCTGTGAGTTAGGTAGTAGGGTGTACTCTAAATGGATGGTTGTGTAGTTTTTAATAATGTACCAGCCTAGGCATTATAGAGCAACTGATAATGTTTGGTAACTCCTGTTATTTAATGAATAAGAATACAGTCAGAATACATCTAGGAAGAATGACAGGCAGTTGTGCTTAATACTGTACACAGATGTTGGAAATGTAAATAATTTAAGCAAATAGAGATTTATTGATAAATTCTCAAAAAGGGGGAAACAGCTTTATAGTTACTTATTTATATGTTTAATATTTGTATTCTATCTAGAATTTTATGAACTTAATAGATACAGTGAAAGAACTAGAATACCGCTAAATTCCATATGCCTATTTTCATAATACAATAGAAATTACTTTTTCCTAGCCTGTTTAGGCTAAATTTGCCACACCTTCTGCAAGAGATCAACTGGAAAATCATTCTCTTCAATTAGTTATGTATCCAAACTAATGTAAAATAGGCATAAATGTAACTCACACATATTATCCCTCTCCTAACTAAACTTTAATTGATTGGGTTTACACAAAATCATGTACTATAGCGTACAAATCTCAATGAATGTATTCACACAACACTCTTAAGATAGGAAAAAAAATGTTTTGGCTAAATATAGTATGTGAACTTTGTCATAGGTGTAAAACCATTATAGGTTGACTAGGTATGAAGGCTGTTGGCCCAATTTTCGTAGAAACTGATAGACTTGAATTATAATCCCACGATAGGCATGAAAACTGGCTGGATGCTTTTTGGGCTAGTCACACTGTCTCAGCCTGGCCAACCTTACAGGCTTGTTGCTAGGAAAATAGGAAGGAGTATTATGTGTGTTTGCTTCCTTCATTTACATAAGAAGTAATACAGGCAAATAAAAATCTAGTAAATGGTCTCCACTCTGTTGATTTTCCATAAGAAGTTAAAAACAGTTTTGTCAGGAGGCCTGTGGAGAATGAATGAAGCCACTAATTTGATTGTGTTGCTGCTGCTATGGGGATGGGTAGAAGGTGGGGGGATAAAGGGTTTTTATCATATGGTAGATTTTTTTAAAATTTGAATTCTGCCAGGAATTTGTTTAATAAATAACCAAAATAAATAATAACAAATGATTTATTATCTCAATGATAATAGTAACAGTGCAACAACTAGGGAATTTGCTACAAAGGCTTAGCAGTACTGATTGTTGAAAGAAAGTCCATCTTTGATTATATAATGATCAGGAATATGACATAGGCAAACAAATAGGTTTGGAAGATAGAATATATACAGTGCAATTCCGGGAAACAAAGTATGACAAAACTTGGTTGAACAGGAAAGAACTAGATGGTTTTTAAAACATGGAGTTCAAAAATCAGAGCATTCTTGCAGGTTTTCCCAGTAAAGTTGAGTTGTGAAAATATCAGAAAATACATAAGGAATTAGTTCCTTTTGAATGTAAAGTATGTGAATATGTGCAAAGCTAGCTTTATAATATCTGACATTTTTCTCACATGGCAGTTGCACATGTATGAAATATTTAGCTACATATGTGGAGACTGTTAAACCATAGTGTAGTGTGTAGATATGTGAATGAACTTTGTTATTCTTTACTACTGCTGTAAGGGAAAGATTAGGAATATTTCCATCTGTTTCAGTTTATCGCAATTTGCTGTGTCATGATTTGGAATTGAGATGAGCTTTAACTGTAATATAGTTTAACTGAGGAAATTTAGAACCCATGGTTAGAAGTTGGCAAGGGTGTGAACAAGACAATTTCAGGTTTATTTTTATTGTAATCCTGTTTAGATTGTATTATTTCATGCTCAGTCTATTTAAAATACTTTTTACCTTTGTTTCATAATCTTCCATTTTAAAAGCTACAGCAGACTTTCAATTTATTATGCTTTTATCATTTTATTTATTTGATAATATACATACACTGCTACAATCAATGGTAGTATATAAGGAGCAAACCAGAAACAATATCTCAAACATATTAAAAATAACCACAATAAGAATATAATATAGAAGATGGCAACAGTTGACACTCAGGCCAAATTTCTATTGATACAAAATGATGTCTAGGACTTTCCTGAATGAGAGAAGGATAAGGGTCAAGCATACTTGCAAGGACATATTTTAAAGTGTGGTGGTTGAGAAGGCCTTCTCCCTGACCTAATTTAACAGGCAATCTTTAGACATTTAGGCAGGCAGAATGATGCTTAGCATGGTGGTCCTGATAATCCCAGTACAATTCCAGCAACAAAACTTTAACCTTGTAATGCAAATCTGAAGAAGTGGAATTGGGGTGGTGGGGGTGGTATTATTTATCCTGAAGGGAATTTGAATAGCATGGTAGCCTAATGTT